TGTCATTGATACACTAAGAAGAATCTAGGCAGCTGCTGTGTAACTTTTGCAACTACCCTGGGGTAGGGAACACTTTAGAACGGCTTTAAACTGGATGAGAGTAGATTTAGATGGGATATTAAGGAAAAATTCTTTCCTGTGGGGGTGGTAAGGACCTGGCACAGGTTGCCCAGAGAAGCTGTGGCTGCCCCATGCTGGAAGTGTCCAAAGCCAGGGATAGTGGAAGGTGTCCCTGCCCATGGCAGGCGTTGGAACTGAATGATCTTGAGAATCCCTTTAAACCCAAACCATCCTGTGATTCTGAACTTTGTGCCCACATTCCAGGCTGATAAACCAAGGCCACACTGGAAACTGCTGCAGATGAAGCTGCCCTGACATGAATGGAGCACATGTTGTGTGGCTGCATCTACACAGTAATGTACACACAGCTCCCAGCCACCCTCTCCAAATTCTAACCACGCAAAGAATTCCTGGATGTGTGACTCGGATCCCACCAGGCTTCTCCCTCCCTGCACCCCCGTGCCACGTCCAAAGGAGAGGATGTGTGTTGCACTGAATGTAGGCAAGAACGTGACTGGTCCTTCCCCTCCAAGTTTCCTTTAGAGGGAATCAAATAAATAAATAAATAAATAAATAAATTTTAAACAGTTATTAAAAGAAGAGGGTGAATCATGGCTTAGTCAGAGTTGGGGCTCACCAGAGCAATCCCTGCTGGTGCTGGCATTTTGATGCCAGGGGGAGGATGTCAGGGAAGGATGACTGCTGACTGGCAGGTTCTTCCAAAGGGGATGGAGAATGAAGTCTGGAGCTGCTATTTTGGGATGCATCCAGAGCCCAATGCCACTGCTCAGGGTGGGTTGCTAGGTGAGTTTGACGATGGAGCAGCAGTGGAACAAAGAGGGAATTGAGTGGTTTTAGTTTTGGTGTTTTGGAGAAGTTTGAGTACTGTAAACCCCATAAGAATTGGGTATCTCATTCTCACAGAAATGGGGGTTTTCCCCCATCTCTCCCAGACTTTCCCTTTTTGTACTTCCCTCTCTCACCTCTCTGGACCTGCTGCGTTCATCCATTGGATTCTTAAGGTCAATTTTTGTCCCATCTACCACTAGTACTTTCATATTTCAAACCCTGGCATTACATTTATACCCCCGTCCCTTCTCATTTATTAAATATCTGCCAGTTCCTGGTTGGCATATGTACGGCAGCAGCTCCAGCCTGCACTGGCTGGTTGATTCCTTCCTCCACCCTCTGTCACACAGTGAGGCTGTGGGACAGCACATGGGCTGTCCCATGTCACACTGTGCCTGCGGTGGCTCTCAAGCAGCTGACAACATTCAGGCTGCGTCAGGACTTGATTTCCCAAAAAATCGCTGAGCTAAGCACCCCTTTGGACTCTTTTCACAGCAGCTGCCAGCAACATCTTATTTACCAGTCCAGGTGCTATTTTTAGGGAGCTGGGATTTTGTGAAGCACACTTTGGGAGGGGAGAAAAATTAATCCTCTGAGTGCACCTAGTGCTGTCCTGCTCCCTGCCCTCTCCCCGGGGTGCAAGTGTCTTATAAATAGCAGTGTTTCTTCCAGCTGACCTCCCTGGGAGCAGCTGGGTGCTGGTGCCTTTGAAATCCAGGCCACTTATTTAGGAGTCGAAGCTTTCCGCTCCAGTTATTTAGGAGTTTCTAAGCCAAGAGTTACTAGGTGGATCTAATTTGAAGCGACTGTGATTTTAATTCAGGCAGGGTTTCGCTTTCGGGCTCCTTTTCATGTCGTGGGGGAGGTGATTTGTGAGGTGGAAAAGAGCCACGGAGAGGGGAGAGAGCTGCTGGAGGAAGGGGGATGATGCTCGAATTCCTTGTCCTGTAAAATCATGTGAATTTTTGTCCTCCTTCTGACTCATGCTGTAGCTGGCAAGCGACTTTCTGTTGCCCTACATGTGAAAAGGATTTGGGGATTTTGGGCAGAGTGGTCCAGGGAGGGCTGTTGTGCCTGACTCCCATCCCATCCTTGCCAACTGGAGCACTCTCAGCTCTCTCCCATCTTCCTTCCCACATCCCAAATCTCTGGTTCTTTTCCAGCTCCCTCATAGTAGCTTTTTAATTTTTTTTTTTTTTCTTGTGAATATTTTTTCCCTGTGTGGGAGAGGGAAAGATTGTGCAGTTTTTACTCCATCTTGGCTCCATGTAAGGAATTAGCTAGAAATATCTTCTTTCTAAATGCGTTATAAAAATACAAGCCTTTGCTCTCAGAGGAGGAAAATGCCCTAAGTAAAAATGGCTATTGAACGTTTTAGGTATCTGAGATGCTCCTTATCAGGCTTTAAATTTTGAAGCAAAATTTGCTTTATTAAACACCATCAAAGCAGATGCTCCCACCTCTACAGCTCTTCCCACCCATGACACATTCCCATATTTCCCTGCCGTGGCAAATTCCCACCCAGAACCCTTCCAAAGAGACCCCTCCATGCCAGGTGGGATCATTCCCATCGGTGTTGGGAGACAAGGAGGGTTTGAGCACCTGCGTGTTTGGGATTTGGGCGTGTCACAGGAATTTTCAGGGTGGTCCCAACCCCTCTGTGCTGCAAACAGAGGCTGTGTGGGGGTGTTAGCATTGCTGGGGTGCCGTTTATAGCCTAATTTAGTGTGGAAATGTAACTTGCAGGAATCTGGAGAGTGGATTAAGAAGTCTAAAAAACTAATAAATTATTGCAAATTATTATTATTATTATTATTATTATTATTAATGATAAAATAGTATTTATTGTATATGAACATGACAATTTACAACAAATAAATAGTAAAATGATAAAATAATAAAAATAATAAAATCATTATGTGGAAACATTAAATAGTAAACAATCAAATGAGATTATTAAATTTAAATAATATTAATTTTTTTTAAAAAAAGAAAAAAAAATTAAAAATTAGGATTATGCTCCCGTTTGAGAGAGCAGAGCTCTCCGCGGAGCATCCCCAGGTCTGCGGCCCCTCCAGCTGCCCCCGAGCCGCTGCTGGCGGAGGGATGCGGGAGGGGGATGCGCGGGGGGGATGCGGGGGGGATGCGGGAAGGGATGCAGGGGGAGATGGGGGGAGGATGCTGGAGGGGATGCGGGGGAGATGCGGGGGGAATGCGGACCCCGCCCGGGCGCGGAGCGGGGCGGAGCAGCCGCGGTGGCCGCGGGCAGAGGCGGAGCCGCCGCATCCCGGGCATCCCCTCCGGGGGAGGCGGCTCAGGCACCACATGTGCGACGTGAGCGACGTGCAGGAGCGCAGCGCCGGCATCCCCCGGCCCCCCGGGACCCCCCGGCATCCCCTGGCCCCCCACGGGTCCCCCCGGCCTGGCCGCGGAGTGAGGGGCGCAAGAGGCGCGCCGGCGGAGTCCCCGCATCCCACCGCTGTCTACTCAGGGCTCCTTTTTATTTTTTTCCCCCTCTATTTTTATTTTTTAAAATTGTTTTTTATTTGTCTCTAGTTTGCTTCCTTTTTTTTTTTATTTTCTTTTTTGTTTTCAACTTTATTCCAATTTTTTCACTTTATTTCCATTTCCCCTTCTTATTTTCGCCTCTATTCCCTGTTTTATTTCGTCACTTAATTTTTAATTATTTTTAATATTTTTCCCTTTATATCTTTCACTTCTTATTAATCTTTAAAACAGATTTTTTAAAAAAAGTTATTTATTGTCGAGTTTTAATTTTCCTTTTAAAAAAAAAACCCAAAAATCCAACAAACTAATTCCATTTCCATCATTTTACATCGTTCTCCCTCGTCGATTTAAAAAGCAGTGGGAAATGAGACAGGGCGTTTATTTAACTACAAATATTTTAGTTTGGGGGTCACCCCACATTCCTGGGATGGGGTTGGGGGGGTGTCGGTGCCGCGCCCCCCCCGCGGAACAAAGCGCGTCCTTTGTCCGCGCTGCAGTGCGGGGGGCGGGCGGCAGGGGGCAGCAGTGGCCGCGCCGACATCCCGCCTTCATCATCATCATCATCATCCTCCTCCTCCTGCTGCCCATCCTCCTCCTCCTCCTGCCCATTTTCCTCCTCCTCCTCCTCCTCCTCCGCAGCGCCCGCCCCGCCCCGGAGGCGGTCCCGGCCTGTCGGGATAGAAATAGGCGGCGCGGCCGCTGCCGGCATATCGTGAGCAGAGCCGGTCAGAGCAGCGGCGGGGACTGTAGCACCGCTCCTTCCCCGGCTGCCTCGCGTGGAGATCCTGCCTTTCTTCTCTTGTTATTTTTTTTTTTTTTCCAATTCAAAAAGGAAGATAATTTTAATTTTTTTTCTTAATATCTATTTATTTTTTTCATCCCGCTTTCCATCGGGGATCGCCCTCGCTCCCTCCCGGCGTGCAGAGGCTGCGCTGGGGCCGTTCCTGCCCGGCTTTGTGCCCTGCAGACCCGGCCCTCCTCTTCCTCCTCCTCCTCCCCCTCCTGCCGTAAAACCTTCACGAGGCTTTGAGCAGCATCCGAAGGCGCCGCAGCCGCTCGCCCAAACCACCGACTGCAACAAAACCCCTTTTTAATTTTTTTTAATCATATATTTCCCCCACTCCCTTCCCCCCTCCCCTTTTTTATTTCTCCTCCTCCCTCCCTCAAACGCATCAAGGTGGACGCGGAGCGCAAAAAGACCTTTGTTTTAAAAATGCCCATGGAGCTGACGCAAAGCCGCATCCAGAAGATTTGGCTTCCCAATGACAACCGCCCGGCGCTGCCCCGCCGCTGTGAGTACGGGCACGGCAGCATCCCGGAGGGATGGGGATTGGGATGGAGGGATGTGGATTGGGATGCGATGGGTGGGCAGCTCTCCCCTTTCTCTGCGTGCCGCCGGGGCTCTTTGCAGCATCCCTGCAGCATCCTTTCTCCTCGGCGTGCCCCAGCATCCTCCCGGTCCCGCATCCCACCCGCTGCCATCCCGTGACTCAGTCCCGGCAGCGGGAGGAAGGTGCAGCCGTCACATGGCCCCGCAGGATGCGGGGAGGTGCCGGGACACGCGTGGCCCCGTTTCCACTCTCTGGGATTAAAAGGAAAAGCAGGGAGCAGGTTGTTCACCTCGCAGCCGGGGCGCCAGCTCAGCTGGGATTTTCACGGTGTCAAGCGGCTCGCCCGGGGATTTATTAATGGCAGAATTGTGAATGGTTTGTGTGGAAATGACCGTAAAGATAATCTGCCACGTGACAGGACACCTTCCACTAGACCAGGTTCCTACAAACGCCGTCCAATTAGTGTGTTAAACTATTTTTTTGGAAATGGAGGGAGGATTAGGACAATGGATTTAAGGGAAAAAAACCCAACCAAACACCAGCCGTTTGCACTTTACTAATTAACCCTGTGGGGATGAAATAGGCAGGTGGAGGGGAAGGCAGAAATTAGTGCTGAAACTTTTGCAGTGGGTTCCCCTTGTCTCTGAAGCTCGGAATGTAAAAATGTTTGCATCATCCTGGTGTTACTATAAACCAAATCTTGAAATCATGATGCAATCCGAAAGCTCAGGAAGCAGCTCCTTTAAGTCACCCACCAGCTACACTGACAACCTGCCAGGAGGTTGTTAGGAGTTGTGCGACTCCTAACTCTAAATGAGCGTCTCAGGAATGTGCGGAGCCGGGATGGAGGGGGTGGCACTCGCAGCCTGGCGAGGGATGGAAGTAGCTCAGGCGGAATGCTTGTCTTCATCAGGCGTTTAAAGTCTCTTCCGATGTTTATTTACCTTGTCTGGACAGTTTCCCCTTCTAAATAATAATAATTTAAAAATAGGTATCCTATGAACTTGGCAGATGCTGTTGCCCGCGGCTGTGGGTCAGGCACCCTGGAGCAGATGTTGGGATGCTCAGCCTGTGCCTGGCAAGGGCAGCTCTGCAGCGGGAGCTGCCGAGGAAATGGATTTCACCAACAGGCTGCACATCTGGGTAGCCAAGGGGCTTTGCTTGGAGTGGGGTAAAACGTCTCCCGGCTTAATGCTTTGCACGTGTCTCTGTGGCTGGATTTTTTTCAAGGACTGGCACCTCTGAAGGAAATCCCTTATGTATGCAGTGGTTTTTTGCCACTTCATTCACCTGGTTTTTCAGAGAAAGCTCCCTCTTGGTAACAGAAAAACTAACACATATATTAAGGCACCGAGGGGCTTATTAATAACATAATGTGGCTTCTAATTATTTTTTCTTGGGGTGGGAACAAGCCACGCTGGGCACTGTTTGCTGTGCAACGTGAGAAGAGGGTTTTTATGCTTTTTTTAGCTCACTCTTTTTTAACTCAAGTTATTTTAAACGCGAGGTGCTATTAATTCCTCAGCAGCAACAAAGAGCGAGGGCTACAAAGCTGTGTGGGAAGGGAGGAATAACGGAGACCACGTCCAGCGTGATGCCTGCAGGGAGCGGGTGCATCCCTGGGAGCATCCTCTGGAAGGACGCTCCCCGGGTGTGAAATAATTAGCCCGATTGTGCGACCGCTCGCCCAGCGGAGGCTGCAGTGATTCCTTCAGCTGGCCTTTTGACGGCGATCCATTAAATTGCTGTCACGCCGCACGTCTCTCACGTAGGGGCTGGGAAAGTGGAACCGTCGAAGGCGCTGGCTGGGCAGAGCCGGGAGAGGGGAGGGGGATACTCCGGGAAGGGAGGAAGGGGGATGCTCCAGGAGGGGAGGAAGGGGATGAAGAGGGGATGCTCCGAGAGGGAAGGAAGAGGGGATGCTCCGAGAGGGAAGGAAGGGAAGGAAAGGGGGATGCTCCGAGAGGGAAGGAAGGGAAGGAAAGGGGGATGCTCCGAGAGGGAAGGAAGGGAAGGAAAGGGGGATGCTCCGGGAGAGAAGGAAGGGAAGGGAAGGAAAGGGGGATGCTCCGGGAGGGAAGGAAGGGGGATGCCGCTGCCTCTCCCCATCCTGTCACTGCTTTTTCCCGTCCCTCCGGCTCGGTGAGTGTGAGGGCACACACCGGGAATGTGCGCGTTCATCCTCGGGGCGATAGCGGTTCCACGTGTGCGATGCGGAGTGCGGGATCGGGCATCCCTGAAAGATGTTGGAATTGCAGCGGGAAGAGGCTGGGAAAAGGGGAATAGGACTAACAGAACGTGCGGTCTAGGGGAAATACTTATGAGGAGACAGTAAAAATGCCTGAAATGGGGAGGTGGCTGTTTTATCCGACTTCTTATAGAAGCAAATTTCCTTCCCTTTTCTGCTGTTTTTTTTTTTTTCCTCTCCTCCTTTTACCCACTGGTAAAGCTGACTTTCTGGCAAATAACAAAGTTGATGAGCTCCTAAATATCCTCTGATTCAGCCTGAAAGTCATCTTGACTTACCTGTCTAGATGTCGATAAGGAGTAATGAATATGTATTGAAATCCTTGATAGCTTCTCAGCAGTGGTGAATAGAAATGATGAATGAGGCTTTTGTGAAAGTCTGGGAGCAAAACACTGGGTTCTGTTTCATCCCTGATGCAAAGTTTCCCGGAGACTTTTGGTTTGGGCTCAGATTCCTGATGGAAAGTTGCTCACTGATGCCACGGTGTTTTAGGAGATGCTTCCCAGGTGCTTTTCCATTATCCGAGGGCAACAAAAACAGGGGGAGATTCCTGAATTAGGGGTGTTTAACTCTTGTAGCACCCTTGGGAGGTGACACGTGTGTGCCCACACAGTGCCAGCCCTGGGGCTGTCACAGCTGTCTGGCGCCACAGGGACATAAACAGTACCCAGCATTGTCCCTTTACTCTTGGAGTGTTATTTAATGGCCCCAAATCCTCTTGGCTCTGCTCTGAGATCCTTTGGCAGGTGGAGAAAATCTGTAAAACAGACTCGCACCCATAGCTCGGATGAGGATGTGACATTGTTAGATTGGGACAAGTATTCTTCTGGGTATGCTGCACAGCTCCCTTGTGCCCCAGCACAGAAAGTTGGCATTTGCTGCCAAAATCTTTGGGAGCTGCTCTGGGGTTTTGAAATGCAGTTCGGGGCGGGGAGGGGGCAGGTTGCACAAAGGGAGTGAGTGTGAGGGCAGCTCCAGCCTGGGGAATGTGAAATTCATGAAATAAAAAAAAGAGGAAATATATTTTAGGTAACTTTTAATCTCTTGCCTGCTGAGTTTGCTTTGGTGAGAAACTTGGGAAGATGATGGGTGGCTCTTCTCTGCCATCTGGATAACAGTGCCATAACTCTCCCTTGTGACTCTAATTTGGTTTCTCCAGCTGCTGGGTTTATTTCTTTTCTTAGACGGGGAAAGTAATCCCATGTACTTTACATCTTCTGTGGGTACCTCTCAGTTTGTTTGCCCTTTCCAGATCCACTCTGATAAAAACCTACCCCAGCCCAGTCTCCATCCCTGGGAGCCCCTGGCATCCTGTGGTCCCACCTTCAGCAGCTGTGACAGGCAGGCAGAGCTCTCCACCCAGGCCATAATTAAGCCGGGTTTTATGGCTCTGCCACCAGCCACTCACTCCCTGCATTCCTTTCCTATGAGGTCTCTGGGCTCACCGGTGGATGGAAGAGTGGGTGAGAAATTCCCTGCAGGATCCCATCTGTCCTGCAAATGCTGCCTCTGGGTTTTCTTTCCAGCTGTTTGATATGGACCCTCTTCTCCACAACAAAAACAAAAAAGAACCCAGCTTGGATTTATGAGGAAAAAAGGGATAAATCACTTGGGTATCTGCTTTTAAATGCTGGTAGTTCTGTGGTTTTCTTGCCTTTTTTGTCTTCAAAAAATTCAGTTAGTTGGTTGTGTGTCAGCTAAAAATCTAGTCAAAGATTTTGGGAGATGCTTTCTGTTGGACCAGACCTGGTATTTCAGCACAGACACTGCTGCAGGGACGAGTGTGAAATCCTTGGCTGTCCTTGAACTTTTCATAGAATTGGCAAAACCATTGGAATGTTAAGTTGTACTAGCCTTGATTTTTATTTTTTTTTATTTTAATTTTTAAAATTATTTTGGTTGCAAATGAGGAAACTGAGGCACAGAGGTTCTCTAGGGAGCCTAGGCCAGCTGCTGGCTTCTTGCCTATTTTGCACCTATCATGATGTTTTTGCTGTGGCTTTCAGGTTTCCTCCACCTACTGAAGGACTTGGAAGGAGTCTGGATAAAAACAAGTGCCTTGATGCAGCATGAGCTGGAGAATTAACAGCTCATGTTCTTTTTCCTTGCAGCCTGTGGGCCCCAGCTTGCCAATTCCCCCACTGTGATAGTCATGGTTGGCCTCCCAGCCCGTGGCAAGACCTACATCTCCAAGAAGCTGACTCGTTATCTCAACTGGATTGGTGTCCCCACAAAAGGTAAGGCTTGCCCTGGCTTCCAGGGGAAAGCAGGAGCTCTGGTCCTCAGGAATTCCTCTAGATCAGTGTTTTGGGAGATGGGAGTAGTGGGGGATGTTTCAGAGATCCCACAGGCCAAATATCTGTGTTTTCCCATCCTACTGCAACCCAGGTTCTCCTTCACTTTGAAAACCAAGCGATGCCCTGAGCCTTTTGCTCTGAGGATGTAATTCCTTAGCCTTAGCTTGCTTTAACTGTAGAAGCTGCACGACTGAGTCATGCCCCTCTTTTTTTTTTGTTTTTTTTTTTTTTTGCTTTTCCCCCTTAGTTTTCAACGTTGGGGAGTATCGCCGTGAGGCTGTGAAGCATTACAGCTCCTATGACTTCTTCCGTCCTGACAACGAGGAAGCCATGAAAGTCAGGAGGTGAGTGTGTGAGTGTGGGCACCCCCCTGACCCCACAGGGGGGTCAAGTCCGTGGCTGGGAGCACAATTACCCACTTTGGGCGTGATGAACTGGGAAGTTGGTCTCTGAATTTCCTCTGGATTTGAATTTCCCCTGCCTGCTCAAGGAGGGTCCTGAGAGCTCAAAACTGAATCTGTACAGGCTTGGTAACTTCAGGGTGGCCAGCACACCCAGAGGACATCAGGGCCACCTGTCTGTCCCCTCTTTTGCAGGCAATGTGCCATGGCTGCCCTGAGGGATGTGAAGCTGTACCTGACGGAGGAGGCCGGGCAGATTGCGGTGAGCTCCCACATGTGCTCTGGGGTTTGGCAGCTGTGCCAGCCCCAAAGTCCTCTGCAGTCCCCTCTCTGGGAAACCAGGCTCTTGTGGTGCTAATTGAGATCTTTTGCTTTTAAAGGTTTTTGATGCCACCAATACCACGCGGGAGAGGAGAGGGATGATCCTAAACTTTGCCAAAGAGAACGGATTCAAGGTTGGTGCCATGGGGCTGATGCCTGCATTGTGAAGCTCACTGTCATGTAGAGTTGGTGTTACCTTTTTTCACTCATGTGTTATCCTCATGCTGCTCCTGTGAGTGAGATTTCACTGCTGGGTTTGATTAAAAATACAAAACTCTTCCTTCATTCTCTGTACAGAGCCATGGGGATGGAAATGATGGGAGTGGGGCAAAAGGAGAGGTTGGGTCAAGCAGGGAGGAGGTTGGGTTGAGCAAGGAGCTGGTGAATATTACAAACCTTGTTGGTGACTTTCAGCTGAGCTTTGCTTTGCTTCACAGGTGTTCTTCATTGAATCTGTCTGTAATGATCCCAATGTGGTCGCCACCAACGTCATGGTAAGTGTGGAACTGGTGGAAGTGTCCTGCTTTTGTTTTCCCTCCATAGAGAGGTAGGAATGGCATCACCTTCACCAGCTCTGGTCTTCATGGTGGACTCAGACCCCCTGGTATCTGCTGGAGGAACAGCACAGCACTGGCTATTTAGGAGGTTCCTGGAATGTGTTGATGACTTCAAGTGATAGCACCTCTCCTTGTTTGCTCTTCTATGTTGCACCTTGTTGTCACCAACAAGGAGGGGCTGGTGAGGAATGTGAAGCTCCAGGGCAGCCTGGGCTGCTGTGGCTATGAAGGGAGATGTCAGGAGAGCAGATTTTGGCCTGGAGTATAATGGGATAAAAAGCCCAGGAGGGAAGAGGGGGCCCATGAAAACTGCTTGATGTTCAAGGATCAGCTTCTCCAAGTTCAGCTGTGATACATTCCCAGCAAAGGAGCAGCCAACAAAAATGCCAGGATGAACAAGGAGCTCCTGGACAAACTCAAACACAAAAAGGAATCCTACAGAAAGAGAGGATGGAAGCAAGGACAGGCAGCCTGGGAGGAATACACAGATTGTCTGAGCAGCCAGGGATTGGGTTAGGAAAGACAAAGCCCTGACAGGCCTGTGGGACTACAGGCTCAGTCTCATATCAGTGTCTGGGGAGATCATGGAATCCTGGAAACTCTGTCGATGGACATGGGAAATAGAAAGGTGATTGGTGGCAGCCAACATGGCTTACCTGGAGGCAAGTCATGCTGCCAGCCAGGGGCTGGGGCTGAAGAGTGTTTTTGCTCCTGCTGGAAGCTGTTGTCCCAGTGACCAACTTTCTGGAAGGTTGCACACAGCCTTTTCTGCAACAAAAAGCTCAGTTTGCTGCTTTTTTTTTTTTTTCCACAAGCTGGATTTTTTTTTTTTTTTGAGGATTTTAATCCCTTTATTTGGAAACTAATGCTTGAAGGGTGAGAAAATGATCTCCTGGCTGAGCGTGGGATTTTGCTCCATGGGGAACTACAGATGAATTGTGCTCTTAGTGCTGGGATCAGTGTGGAAAATACACCCCAGGCCTGGGATGCTGCCACATGTGTTGATCCGTTGTGTTATCCTGTTGGTTTCAGGACTGCTTGTGAAATTACTAATGTGTAATGCTGCTGTTCAAACCCAAATCTTCAGGAAAAGCAGCCTGTTAGATTAGTTCAGGCAGGACTTAGAAACAGGCAACGTGAATATTCACAGCCCTCACGGACTAAGATCTTTCAGCCCAACAGCTTGCAACAGATAATGCACAGAAAGGGGTTGAATTTTGCCATCCAACTGTCCTGCTGCTGAGCTGGGTTAAGAATCTTATGTAAGCTCATGAGCTTCTCTTTCTCAGGCTGAGCTTGAATCTGATGGGGATTTTTTAGCCATTAGGAAGCTGAGTTTTCCTGCTATTGGTTGGTGCTACCTCAGCTCTTGGGAGAATGGGAGTGGACTGAAGAGTGTCTGTATTAACCAGGCAATGGTCGATACCAAATTCTCCCACCTTGTGCTTGGTTTTGGGTCTGGTTTGCTTATTTTCTGCTCTGTGATGAGTGATGACTATAAAGTAGTCATCACTTACTTTCAGCTGATCACTGGATCTTGGCAAGACTTTGAAATTCCAGATTAGCATTGTCTGTCTTGGAAAGCTTCCTAACCTCTCTTTGTGGCATGTTTTCTTTTTTTTGTTCCAGGAAGTCAAATTGTCCAGCCCAGATTACCGGGACTGTAATTCCACTGATGCCATGGAGGATTTCATGAAGAGGATCAATTGTTACCAAGCCAGCTACCAGCCCCTCGATCCTGATGACTATGACAAGTAAGAAACCTTGACTTCTTCAGCTGCCTTGAGCACCTGCCCTCTCTCCCAGGAGAGGAACAGTGAAGGGTGGAGCTGTATTTCACTTTGTCTTCAAACACCTGGCTGTGCTGGGATGATTTATGGCCAGGCCTCACCTTGAATTCAGGCCTTTTACAGGAAAATGCTGGTTTCCCCAGGCCCTGTGCCAGGGAAGTGGGCACTGATGCCTTCCCAGGCTCTTCTGGGCTCAGATGAGCTGTTTTCAACCTTGTTCTGTGGGCCTAAGTACAAAGGCTTTGGGAAAGCACTTGAGTTTGAGTGGTTGAGGTGCTTTTTTCATTGTCCCTGTTAAAGAAAGGGACTGCTTGGCTCAAACCACAGGATTGAGCAAGCCCTGTGGCTTCTCCCTGGTTGTTGTGTGCCTTGGAAGAGTTTTGCTGTCCTGCCTGACTCTGCAGGCACCTCCCAGCCTCTGCACTGCTCACAAACACGTCTGTGTGCCCTGCACCGATTGTCCCAGTCCTGCTGATCCCTGTCTTGGGGAAGAGCATGTTCCCTGTGAGTCCTGTTTAATCCTCTTTACTGCTGCAGGAGGAGGGGTGGCGATTACACTGCTGCTATTCAGCTCTCCATGAATCCCCATTACCTGTTGGCTCCTTGCTGAAAATAGCCTGCAGGAAATCCTCTGAGCCTGTGATTACATGGACAGAGATAACTCACAGGGCTGCTTTTGAGAATGACGTCTCTGTCTGTTCCCAGGGAACTTTCTCTCATCAAAGTCATCGATGTTGGCCGGCGGTTCCTGGTCAACAGGGTTCAGGATCACATCCAGAGCAGGATTGTTTATTACCTGATGAACATCCACGTCCAGCCCCGCACCATTTACCTCTGTCGGCACGGGGAGAGCGAGTTCAACCTCAAGGGGAGGATTGGAGGGGACTCTGGCCTCTCCAACAGGGGCAAAAAGGTGAGGGAGAAGGAAAATATTCCCCCCATAGCTTCCAGGAGTGATCTGGCTGTAGTAGATGCTGTGCCTTGGGTTAAGTGCATGTTTGACAACTGGGCTGCTGAGGGTCTATCTGTAGCTCTTGGGGATCAATGAATGGGTGGCTGCCCTTCCTCTTAGAGTAGAAGGCTGATCTTTCTGCCTATGGAAGGCAACACTTACTGGGAAGTAGGGAAGAAGGCCCATTGGGAAGCTGTGGACCAGGAATCAACTTTTTTTTACTATGTCCCACAGTTTGCAGAGGCACTGAACAAATTTGTGGAAGAGCAGAACCTGAAGGACCTCAAAATTTGGACCAGCCAGCTAAAAAGAACAATCCAAACAGCAGAAGCTCTCCAGCTGCCCTATGAGCAGTGGAAGGCACTCAATGAAATCGATGCTGTGAGTATCTGTGCAGCCAGAATAGCTGGATGGGGCTGGTTGTTGCTTAACGAGAGAAAGTGAGGTTTTGTCTAGTGGCTGTGCTGGTGCTGTTTGACTTGAGCATCTCCAGTAACCTCATGGTTGTCCTGCCCTGGCAGGGTGTGTGTGAAGAAATGACCTATGAAGAAATCAGGGATCAACATCCAGAGGAATTTGCTCTGCGTGATCAGGATAAATATTACTACCGTTATCCTTCTGGGGAGGTAAGTCTGCACGGACACCTTCAGAGACAGAAGAAATCTTATTTTAAGTGTGGCCTTTTTTCCCCCTCATTCTGTCCTCTTGAGCAGAGGAGCAGTGAGAGCTCCAAGAAATAAGAATTAAGAGATCAGGGCTTCTGTTCACCTCTGCCTCGAGCTCTTGTGAAATCTTGCCATGTGAAGATCTCACTAAGAAATAATGTCATTTAACAAACAGTCCCACTGACTTTATAGCAGATTAGTAGGGAAGGGTCTCTGGAGGTTTCTAGTCCAACCTCCATCATTATATCTGCTCATAGTTTTGTGCTGCCCTACTTTCTTTCACTTCCAAAAAAAGTAATTCTCACCTTGTTCTCAGTACCATTCCCTAAGGGTTGATGGTACTATCTCTGTTCCTGGCAGTCTGCTTTCAGGGTGTGACACAATGAGGTGGGAATTGACATCAGTTCTGGATGATACTTTAGGCTGCGAATTGAGCTAATTATCCCCACGTTGAAAGTAATGTCCATAGACATTTCCCAAAAATCTTTGGAGACCTCCTCATGACCCTGTATCTAACCGGAGAATATGTAGAGATATCAGACACCAACTCTGGGTGTCTGGAGCTCCTGGGTGCCTGTCATGGTTTTTTGAGGCCCTTCAAAGCCCTGGGGTTTCTGAGGTTGCTCCAGACTTCTCAGAACTTTGAAGTCCTGTACCAAACCAAATATCAAGATGATGGAGAGGCTCTATCTTCAAAGCCCTTGCTGCTTACCTTAATTCTCCTGGACTGAGCTGTGATTCACTGAGATGTGAATGGTTCCTTCCCTGACAGAAGAATTAGAAGTTCAAGAGTAGCCTGAGAATGAAGATTTATTTTCTTTTTAGTAGTCTGTTGGCTTACTCAGAAACCAGGAGGTGTGCCAAGACAAGGACTGTTTCTTTGGGATGCTCGCTGCATTGATCTCATTCCTCATGTCCCTTCCCTTCTGTCCCAGTCCTACCAAGACCTGGTGCAGCGCCTGGAGCCAGTCATCATGGAGCTGGAGAGGCAAGAGAACGTCCTTGTCATCTGCCACCAGGCTGTCATGCGCTGTCTCCTGGCGTACTTCCTGGACAAGAGTGCAGGTGAGCTCCCTGGCCCTGCCAAGAGGATTTGCCCTGCTGGAGGAGGGCTCATGGATGGTGTTCACATCCTGGAGTGTGCATCTCTTCGGTGTGGGATGAAAGTGTCTGAGCCTGCCTTTGGAGAGGAGGTGGGATAACTCTGCTGCTTTGCTGTCTCTGCAGATGAAATGCCCTACCTGAAATGTCCCCTGCACACAGTGTTGAAGCTGACCCCGGTGGCCTATGGTGAGTGAAACCTTCCTAAACATGCTGGGGGGGTTGACTTGTACTTTCTCCTCAGTCCAGGCTGTCTGGGAGAAAAGCAGGGATCTGTGGTGGGGCATTTGGTAACATCCTGTGCCTGCTGGGCTTGCTGATCTCTGTGCTCCTTCCTGCAGGCTGCCGGGTGGAATCCATCTCGCTGAACATTGAAGCAGTCAACACGCACAGAGATCGACCAGAGGTGGGTGTTGCTTTTCCCTGGAGCTGTCCTTTGGTGTCCCCCTCCTGTCCCCTGTGGTCAGCTGGCAGTAGGAGCTGCCAAATCATGCCTGGGGTGGGCATGGGGAAATTGCTCAGCTGGGTGCTTGGAAGTGCTACTGGGAGCATCAGATGTGCTCTTGCTCTGCAGAGTCAGGGCCAGTTGAGAGTTTTCCAAGGGAAAAGGACTGTTGCATGTTCCTGCTTCCCAGTGTGTTTGCCCAGGGAAAACTCCTCCCTGGTCTCTGACTTTCACCTGCATGGCCATCCACTTCCCAAGCTGGGAATGGAGCTATGGATGGAGAAGGTGACTTCTCCCAGGTCTCTCAGCTTGCAGGCAGAGCCTGGGCTCAAAGCTTGCCCTACATCTGCCTCTGAGGGTCTTTTTCCTGGATTGCCCATGGCTCTCTGTCACTCTGTAGGGTGGGAGGTGGCAGTGCTGAGCCAGGGATGCTCTGTGGAAGAGACCCCTCCTGTGGAGCAAGACCCAACCTTACAGGAGTTTTATCTGCCAAGTGCTCCACTGGAGCTCGGAGGCCAGAACAGGATAATGGGTGGCTGCCCAGCCCTGACACTAAGTTGGCAGAGTGGGCCACAGGGACCCTGGCAGCACCGATGTCCCAAGATGCTGAGCCATTTCCAACTTGTGCTTAGTGGTGGTGGAGCCCAAAGTGATGCTGAACAGTCGGGACTGTCCCCTTTTGGCCAACATCTCCTTTCCTTTGCTTCCCCTGTCAGGTGGCAGCACCTGAGCCTCCTGTCCCTCCCTGCAGCTGTAGGGGGGAAGCCAGTCCTTCCCCCTGCATGGGGCCATGGTGCCCTGCTTTGCTACCCTCTCTGGGGATGGCAGCAAGGCCTTGGGTAGGGTGGGGTGAGACTCATGCCAAGTGCTTGGGTGCCCCTGCCCAGCTTTGCCTCCATCCCTCCTCGCTTGAGTTGGAGCTTGGCGTGGTGCTGACACTCACTGGCTGCTCTGCTCCCACTTTCCAAATCTTCCTGGTCAGCCTGGGCTGGCTCATCTTCCCTCTTCTTGCTTTCACTCCTCTCTCTGGGTGGAGGGAGCAGCTTTGAGGAGGAGACCGATGGGCACCTCTGTGTGTGCAGAGTCATGGCTTGATTGCTGCTGGGTGTGTTCAGCTACCTGTAGTTACTTTTTTTTTGTCAGCTGAGACTCAGATGAGGAGAAAATCTGTCTCATGTCTGAGTGCAGAGCCATTTTTTTTTTCTCCCCTTCCGTTCTGCGCTCTTAAACAGTTTGCATCAGGGTTTTTTTGTGTCCAGAGCCCTTTCAGTGCATCCTTTGCTCATTGACAGTGACTGTGGGGAAAAGCAGAGGCCACTTTAAGATAAAAAAAGAAAACCAAAGCAACTTGCTTCTTTTTTTTTTTTCCTTTATAACTGTCGCCTTCTTCCTTTTTCTTTATTTTGCTCTATTTTTTTATATTTACTTTTATTTTCTTTGTCTCACTTTAATTTAGGAAGCAAAGAAGGGACCTAACCCGCTCATGAGACGTAATAGCGTTACCCCTCTAGCAAGCCCAGAGCCCACCAAAAAACCTCGCATCAACAGCTTTGAGGAGCATGTGGCTGTTTCTTCTGCCCTGCCAGGCTGTGTTCCTCAGGAAGTGCCCACGCAGATGCCGGGACAAGTTAGTTGAACTCTTCTTTTTTTTTTTTTTTTTTTTTTTTTTTTTTTTTTTTTTTTTTTTTTTTTTTTTTTTTTTTTTTTTTTTTTTTTTTTTTTTTTGTCCTCCTGTCACTCCTGAAGCTGAGGAACTGCTTGCACTTGTTGTAACCTGTGCTGCTGTCTGAGATGCATCTTCCTCCCACGGCTGCTGTCCCTCCCTGCCTTGGGTCACTGTTGATCCTCTCTTGGGTTTTGAGAGTGTCATGAACTTCCACCAAGCTCTAGGCTGCATTAATTTAGTGCCTTCACCATCCAGCATCAACCTCCTGAAGGGTCTCCTCCCTGGAGTGAGCAGGAACAAAGGGCTTGTGCATTCCCTCTGGGTGCTTGGCTCTGGTGTAGACCTGAGCGTGGCAATAAATCAAATGCTCTTGTGCTTCTCTTAAGGAGGAGCTGCCAAGACTCATCTTTGGCTGGAAGGGTCTCCTTCCTCCTGGAGCTGTAGGCAAAATGGACCAAAATTGAGTTTCAGAAGGCTCTTGGTGTGGTGAACCTGAGTGAAACCCTGTGGGTAGCTGCCATGGTGCTCATGTGTCCTGTCCTCTTTCACCCACCCATGAAGGGACATAGGAAGAGAGGCCTTGCTTGCTGCTCACTTCTCCAGGCACAAACCCCTCTCCTAAGCTCACTAAGGAGTCCTATATAATCTATAGGAGCTTTTGCCATGCTGCCCTTGCCCCCAGCTGCCTGTCCCTGCTGTCTGTGTTGGTGTGATGTCCTTTCTCCCCTCCTCACCCAGACCCTGGGCAGGTTAGGAATGAATGGCTCTGTGCTCCCCCATTGCTCTGCTTGGTTGTTGCTTTGCATGAGCCTCCCAGGACAGCTGGGTCTGTCTCGGCTCCCAAGGCTCTGCTTGGGCTGGTTGAGCCTCACAAGAAACCTTTTGCCAGCTCTGGCTGCCTGGTACCCCTCGCTGCTGTCCACTGTCCTCTGCCCGGTGTGGCGTGGAGTTACTGACACCTTCTCTGTTCTTTCTGTTCTCTGTCTCTCTGCAGCCTTTACTAGGGAAGGCATGCCTGTAAGTACCTTCTTGCATCTTATTCCCCCTTCCAACCCTTTCTCTTGCCATCCTGCTGGGTTGTTTTGTTGTTGCAAAAATCTGGACGAGGTGTGGAATTCTTGGAGTTAATACTTTGCTGTTTTGGGGGGAGATTTGTTTTAGGAAAGGTAAAGAGGAGACTGTGGGTGCTGGTTTCTATCTTAGCTTGATGACATGTCCCAATTTTGTTGTGAAATTAAACAAATTATTATTTTCACTCTGCCTATGGGTGATGCTGTTGGGTTTCTTGGAGTTGTCTCCTCTGTGATAGCATGTTGTAGTGTAGGGTGAGAGAGCTCTGTCCTTCCTAAGGGCCCTGAGTTGTGTCTGATGGCACCAGAGAAGTATCTGAGAAGCTTCTGACCTTCTCAGGAATGGCTTTTCTGGGGCTGGATGATCCTGGGACCAACCATCTGCAGTTCTGCAAACTTGGATTTTGAAAACAGCCTAGATGTTGTGGGCAGAGTGAATGGAGATTGTCCTTCTCTACCTCTCTTAAGAAAGCAAAACATCTTGAGCATTTGATTCACTAATTTTGAATAATCAAGGCTCTGGTTTTGTTTAGTGCTGTTACATCCCTGAGTAACAGGAACAGGACAGCTCCTGGATAAATTTGAATCCATTGGACTTAATGCTGCATTGAGCTGAGAGCTGCAGTTGTTGTTATGTGCTCGGGTGCTTTCTCAAAGACTGGGAAGACTTTGGGGCTGAGCTGATACTGGGTAGTGTCCAGGGAGTCTTTTTTGCCCTTTGAGGGCCAGTTCAAATCAGCAGGGCCAGTTCAAATCAGCCTGTGAGCATCCCTGTCTTGGGTTGTTTTGTGGGCTGAAGATGGAAGGATCTGCTCTAACATGGCCAGGCCAGAGCTCAGCTCTGCTTGCCTGTAGCAGCTGTTGAATCTCAGGTTTCTTCCCCTTGTATAGTAAACATTTTTGAGAAAAGGGAAGTTAGGACTGTAGCACTTGGCTTTGCTGGTGGATGGGTTGGGTGAGATCACTGTGCAAGTGTAGAGGTTGAGTTGCTCAGCATGGCTTGCATGTCTGTGATCCTTCCCTTGCTGTTCATGGCCACTAAAGCCCCTGATGAAACCTGATCCTCCTGGGTTGCTCTGAAAGCATTTTAGTTTTTATGCATCCTTCCCTCTGTGATTTTTCACATCTGTATTGTAACAAAAGGCACCGCATGCCTTGGTGCTGGCTGGGACACTGAAAACACTCTGCTGTTGAGTTTGGGAGATGGATGTGTCAGATTTTGCTGGTGATGGTTACCCACACCAGGTGTAGGCTGGCAGCAGCAAGTTTAAAATCTCCAGCTGCTGGGAGTCTGTCTCCACCTCCTAGTGTGCGACTTAAAGGCTGCTTTTGTGGGACCCATAAGGACATGCCAAAGCCAGGGCTTGGTGACTTTGACACTGCTGTTAGCTCTGGCAGCCTGCTGTCTGGTACACTGGTTTGGTCCCTCACTGTCACCACCAGTATGGGGCTGGGGAGGTGGAAGGTACCTCCTTCACAGCTTGCACCAGGGGCTTGGGTTGGTAGTGGGAGCTTCACTGCATCAGCCCTCACTTTTGGGGTCTCGACTCCCATCCAGGAGGACCGAGGGGCCACCTGGAGAGGCTGGGGACATGGCTGAGACCTCAGAGTCCTCCTGGCTGTGGGATTGAGCTGACTGGGGATGTGGGACTACCTGGCGTGATGATTTCTTTTCCTTTTGCTTGGTTTGTGATGCAAACTGCACTTTTGAACAGTCACCTGATCCCCTCCCTTCTTCTCCCCTTCACTTTTCATGCTTAAAAAGAAGACCCGTTTGTCACTTTCTCAAAGTTTTCTCTTTGCTAATATTTCCAAGGTAAATGGCTGTGGTGCATGTGGCTTTTCCTATCCCTCCTCCTGTCTCCTTAGATAACAGCTCAGCCTGCTCTGCCTCGTAGCCTGGCTGGGATTCTTGGTGCTTGTAAGAGGCAGCTTAGGTAGTAAAAGCGTTTTTAAAAAAATCCCCAAAACCACTCAAACCCAAAAACAAACTTAAAAAAAAGAGAATCCTTCCTAGCTGTTTTCTAGTCCTTTTTTCCCCCTACCTTGTTTCATGTAGTTCTGTGAGTTGGGAAATGTCCTTGTTGTCCCTTGGGCTTCTCCTGGAGCAGATGTTCTCCTTGGTCCTGCTTGTGTTGAGCTGGTTGTCTCTGGTTTTGTGGTTCTCACCACGTGCTGGTGGGTACCTGCTGTCATCACTCTGTACCAGGTCTGTGTCTGGAGCATCTCTTGGGCCCATGAAACCTCATGGGGTGCCACCAGGGGAGTTGTGCTGCTGGTCCTTGGCATGGTCAGTGGGAGCTGCCTGTTCTTGGCATTGCCAAGGATGGACAAACAATGACCTCGTCCTTAGCAGGAGAGGGGGGGACACTGCCCACCCTCAAGGGGAGCAAGAGAGAGCTGTTTAATTGCTGGGGGGGAGGAAGAGAGAGCTGTTTAATTGGGCTGCTTGGATGCTCTCTGTGGTCCCCTGTCACCTCGTCTTGTGTGGACCAAAGAGCATCGTCAGACAGAGTGGGATGGAAGGGTTGGCTTGGGTTTAGCTCAGTTTTTAGGGCTATCTAAGTTCCAGCCCTGTAGTTAGCCAGGCAGTGCCTGAGGAGGGGCTGAGCAGTGACTCAGTCACCTGCCTCTCCCCTGGGGTGGGCAGTGTCCTCTCCTCTCCTGTGGGTGCTTTGTAGTGACCCGTGCGTGGCTTTGTTCCTCCTCACCCCCTTGTTCACGTGTTCCTAGAAGGTGCTGCTGTGTTGGAGCCTGACCCCAACTCTCCTCGTTCCCCTCTCGTTCCAGAACATGAACAACTCCCAGAAGCCGTCGTGACTCCGTGACACCGCCGGCGCTGCCAGCTTCTCATCCCATCGCCATTCCCGAAGCTTGCTCACCCTCCGGGCCCCTCCAGCTGTGGCTGTAGTGAGCCCCACCCTGGGCTGGCTCTGCTCAACGCTGCCAATTCATCCCCAAAACCCCGTGCTGCTCATGGGGGGATGCAGGAGAGCCGAGGAGGAGCAGCCCAGCTCCCTGCCGGGGTCACCACCAGCTCTTCAGGCTGCAGCGTTTGCTCTCCTCTCCAGTATCCTGTTAGGTCGTAGCGAGCTGTAAAGTGCTTCTGTAGTGCACAGGAGTTTCATTTTCTCTTTTCAGTGGTTTTGATCTTCTGTATAGATGACTGGTACCCATCCATCTCCGGGTGGGGTGTGTATATATGTGGATGGTGCGGGGTTAGCAGAGAAATAGGGGGAAGGGAGGGGGGTGGGTAAAGGGGTTTTGCATTTTTTTTTTTATTATTATTAATGTTGTTAATTACTTTTGAATAAGCCCCTAACATGCTGTGCTGCAGTCCTTCACCCACACTACAACTGGTCACACATGCCAGCCTGGCTCATGCAGATCTGTGAGCACCAGGAAAGCAGCTGTGTGAATTCTTTCACTGCAAGAACTGCTGGGTTTAATAAAAAAAAACAACCCATTCTTTCACTTTTTTTTTTAAAATCAACATACCTTAAAGGGTTTTGCAGAGAATGTAGATCTGCTGCTAAAATTGGTTGAAAGATGCCTGGAGTGCATGAGGAACCATGCCAGCAGGGGCTTGGGTGATGCTTTCATCTTGGGGAGCACCCAGGGATCGTCTGAGCTTAGGCATGGGTTGAATTTTTGGGGAGGCTGAGCACTGTTTGAGGTGCTGTGCTGGTACTTCATCTCCCCTTTCTTCTTTTTTAGATGAAAGTGGAGGTATTGGGAAGGGTTTGAATCCTGAGGCTTAGATGCATTTTGCAGACACAGAGGTCTCATAGAGGTGGCCAGAGGTCTGGCTGGGTTGCAGGAGTCCCTGTCTGACTGCAAAAAGCCACAGGAAGGGACAGTTTTGTCTGTATTTTTTTAATATTTTATACACACGTGTGTGTGTATATGTGTATACTTAGAAACTGCTTGGTTTTTGCACTTTATTTGTGGCAGAAGCATAACTACTTTATTTTTTTTTTCAAGTTGTGCCCCTTATCAGGGGAAGCCTGAATACAGGCAACTTTTTCTATTTGTTTTTAATTGTATTTTGCATGCTGGAAAGCTGGGACTACAAAATAATAGTAGTTACAGTATTTGAGGTGGGGGGAACAGGGTGAGGTCCTGACTGACTCCATCAGCCAACTCCCAGTGGTTTAATCCATAAAATCCCTTATTGGCAACCTGTCCTGGGCTGGGAGACAGCAGTTAAAAATGGCAATTAACCACTATTGCTTTGTGCAAAAATCTGTGGATTTTGAAAACTTCTTTTCAGTGTTTTGGGTTGGTTTTGGGCTTTTCCCCCCTTCCCCCCCACCTATGTGCAGCATCTTCTCCATGCCCATCTCTCTTTTTTTCCTTTTTTTTTTTTTTTTTTTCTGGAGGCAGGAGGTGAAGGCAGCCCCCCCTCCTGCAGCACTAGGCTGGGGAACTGGAGTTGGGCAACCCTTTGAATTCATCCTTCCCATGGCTTTCCCCCAGCATCCTGAATAAGGGAGCACCATCCCCAGAGCTGGGAGCGCAGAGAGGCTTAGGTGGAGAAATGCTATTTTTGCGAGAGTCGTGTGTGTGTTTTGGGGGTGGGTTTGGTCTGTTTTTTCCTTTGGGAAAAGGTGAACCACAGTGCCTCACGCTTCAGCTTCGTGCTCGGAGCGGCACCGACGGCGGGAGGGCAGCGGGACCACGCTCAGCCCCTGTCCCCTGGGGGTGACAGTCCTGGCAGTGCCCTGCCTGTGTGAGCTTGTGCATATGTGTATCATACTCCTGTACAGATAAAACAACACTGCCCCCCTCCCTCTGCTTCATTTCTGTTTAAACATCCTCGTTAAAAGCAGACTCTCCCTCTGCGCCCTGCGCGGCATCTGCGCTTTCGGTTTCTCTGCCTTTCACACAAATGAATGTTTTGGGGAGGCCACTCACTGGGCTCTTTTCAGCTTCCTCCTTCACGGGGACTTTTATCTCTTCCCCTCCTCCTGCTGCAAAAAGATAAGCCAGCAATTACAAACATGACGTGTGGCTGCCCTGAGATCAATCCTGGACACGTGAAATTGCGTGGATGTTTTGGTGTATATTTGTGTGTGTGTGTGTAAATATATAAATATATATAAAAAAAACAGAAAAAAAAAACCAAAATGAAAGCCCTAAACTTTCATCCTTTGGTAATAATAGATCTTAGTAGATCTACAAAAACCTGGAATTTGAACAAGATGTTTTTTCCAGTATTGGGAAAACTGCTCTCTTAGCTCCTCTTGTGCTGGAGGTTTTGGTGGGATGGTGTCAACTCTGTGCCATCACAACTGCCCCAAAAAAGTTGTCCATCTTTTTGGTTAACAGAGCCAAGGACTGGGCAGCTGATGCCACAGCCAAGGCAGACTGGGAGACAGAACATGTCAAACCACACCAATTATTTCTTCCCCCACCTTTTTTTTTTCTCTCTGGTTTGTGATACTTGAATTTATTTTTTAATTTTTTTTTTTAATAGCAAAGCGCTCTTTATTTATTTAATGTATACTGCAAAGCTTGGAGAGAAGGGTGTAGTTACTTGGGATTACTTTTTTTTTTTTTAATTTGTGGTATGTTAACTTTTCTGTATATATGTCTGGAATAATTGCCTGATATAAAGCTGTGCCAGCTTAAAAACAGGGTCTGCCTTTCAGAAATTTGTATATTTTGCAATTGCTGGACCAATAAAATATCTTGTTGAAATACAGATGTCATCTGGTTCTTCCTTGTGTCAGAAATCATGCTCTCAGGCCCTAAGGGTCACCTTGTGCCATTCTGTGCTGCTTCACAGCAGTGTTCCTGTGCCTCATAGAGGAAAATTCTCAGAGATTGTGGATGCTCCGTGCCTGGAAGTGTTCAAGTTGAAGGGGGCTTGGAGCAACCTGGTCTATTGGAAGGTGTTTTTCACACTATTCTATGAATTCTGCAAGTGTTAACACCTACTTAGGACAAGAAAATGCCCCCCAGGCTCTACATGCTACATCACTCTCGAGTAGAAAAGTGATGTATTGGGAATTGTCCTGCCTAGATCTAAATCTAGGCTGCAAATGAGGCAGGACTAAGCAGTTATTCAAACCTAGCCTAGTTCTTGAAATCAAATACCTGGATGCTGAGCAAAGGGCTGGGCAAGAGCTGTCCCCTGAGATCTGGGCTGGAAAACAGCAGCTGCCACCTGCAAGAAAAGTTTACAGGAAACTTGTGTGTGGGCTTTTTTATTAATTAATGTAATATTAATTTATTGCTCCAGAGAAAAAGTGGGAAAATACAGGGAAAGGTGTAATTTGACATAGTTTTCTGGAGCATATCTTGGGTGAATGCTGCCTCTGCGATCCGAGGCTTGTCCCACTCTAGGAATTATATCTCTTAAAAGCTTATGAGGAGTAAAAGGGGCTAAAAGGTGCAGGGTGCTGTGCATCCAGCTCAGCCCCGGGGTTTGCCTCCTGCTGGTTGATGTGCAGCCCTTGCTCTGCTCTCCCCTGGGCTGGCACAGCCTGTCTTTGGTCTAGAGATTTTTGGGGTGCACAGGGATCATCTCCCTCCTCCCAACTGCTCTGCACTCCAGGCCCTCCCACCAAGGAGGGTGTTTTCTCATTTCAAGTGTGATGAAGCATCTGCAATAACGTGAGGTGAGGTGTGAGACTGTGGCCATGCTCATTCCTGTGTGCATCCTGATGGCAGCGAGGACCCCGTGCTCTCCAGGAAATCCAACAGCCATAAGATTTTATTATTTTTTTTTTAGCCATTTTTTTTTTTTTATCTCTAGCAACCTGGCTGTGTCCTTGAAGCAGGCAGAGACAAAACACTTGTGTTTTAGGGCAAAGAGTGTAGCCTTGCAGCTGCCTCTCAGGGAGTCCTGCAGGGGCTCTGATAACACCTCCAGCCAGGGTGGGCTGAGGTCACACCGAGCCACAACATCAGAGCAGCTCCCCTGCCCTCCCCAGGCCAGGCAGGGGCTGCTTGGAGCCCCGATAAAACCTTGTCCTTGTGGGAAGAGCACGGGGGGAAGGTTTTGCCTCCCTGAGAGTGGCTTTGGGCAGCATTCCCAAGGCTGCTCTGTAAGAAAATCCACCCTCTCCCCCAAAACTCTGTCCTCTTCCCATGTGCACCATGGGGTTTCCGTCATGCTACCCCCAGGTAAGAGAAGGGAATCAGTGCCATCCCAGCCAGCATCCTTTGTTTTTCTTCCATGTGATGCATTTCGTAGCAGCATCCCAGAGAGGAGAAGCTCCTCGAGGCAGCGCAGCTTTAAAGGTTACACTGGACAGCAGGAACATTTCCCTGCTCCCAGTCAAGTCCCATTTTATTAAAATTAAAAAAAAAAAAAAAAAAAAAAAAAAATAAAAATAAACCCCCAGCTCACGCCTGGCAAACAAGCCAAGAGAACTTGTGATGGCTGAAAAAAAAATAAAAAGGGCAGACCAGTCACGCTGGCTGACTCAGCTCTGATTGATGGCTCAGGAATGTGTCTGGGATTAACTAAACCACTGGCAAACCTTTACAATGCAACACATTGGATGGAGCACAGCCGGCTCACCTGCCTCCGGCTGGGGAGTGACTGCCTCACGTCATGGGATTGGAGGGGATTTTGCTTCTTTTTTATCCATCTGTGAGGGAAAAAATAAAATAAAAAGAAGCGGCTGTTTTCCGAATTGCTTTGCAAGGGGCTGTAGTAGGAATTATTTGCAATATTTCCAGGTGTCTAGATGCACTTGTGCAGTTTTGCTGCGGCCAAGGTGTCCTGGAAAGGAATATATTTATGCTGAGATATGAGAAATTTATTCAGTGGTAAATCACAGTCTCGCTGCTCCCTGCCTAAACTCTGCCAAATGTCAGAGTCCCTTCTCCATCCCCACAGGAGCCCGTGTTGCATTCATGGTTAATGGAATCCTGTGTGGATGTGAATATTTGTCCCTCACATTTCTTTTGTCCGTGTGTCCAGCTGTGGCTTCTTTGAGGCTGAGTGGTGTGGTGGGTAGAGAAAGAGTATCAAAATTGAATTTATTTGTCAGCAATGCTGGAAGACACTACATCATGTAGGTGGAGTAGTGGTAAGAGTCAACCCCAAAATACCTGATCTAGCTGAAGATGTTCCTGCTTATTGCAGGGGAGTTGGACAAGATACCCTTAAAATGTCCCTTCCAACCCAAACTATCCTATGATTCCATTCCAGGAAATTAATTTGCAGTGCCTACAGGAAAGCCAGCTTCATCTCTCACGTTCCACCTGGGAGTGCCCTGCTCTGTGGTCCATCCCCAGGAGCTGTGCCTGCTCTGGGGATGCCATAGGTGAACCCAGCAGCTCCAGCTCAGCTGATGGAGGCTAAAAGCTTTGAGAGGTCCCCTCTGGATGTTATCCTCCACAATCCTAAGGAAAATCTAATTTGCACTGTGACAGTGTTACTGAGTCTGGTAAAACTCAGCTGATGCTTCTGTCCACCCAGCTTGCTGCACAGAGAGAATTTTTTTTTCTTGCTGATCTAAGACTCAGATTTAACATGATCTGAAGGGACAACATTCAGGATCCCCCAGGATTTATGAATTGCTTCTTCCTTTAGGAGAAGGTGCAGACTCTGATATTGCACCCACTCCTGGCCAGACACCAGCAAACATTATTTGGTCTTTAAGAGATATCTGAATGCTCTTTCTACTGAATTGATGTTGGTGGCTCGGAGAAGTAGTTAGAGAAGTGGGTGGCAGCAGAAGTTGTGACCAAAAAATGCGGTTGAATTAGAGCTACAAAGAGAAACAGTAATTAAGACCTAACGACTAATTACTGTGGGGGAGGGCAGCTCAAGAATGAGCACAGCCCCAAATCCAGATATTTCTAGCTGCAGCTCAAACCCCACAATTAAGCTGTGATTTTGGTCATTATGAGGAGATATTTCCAGAGCTGGGTCTTGCCGTTTGCTGCCTTCATCCACCCAAATGACTGCCTGAGCATCAGCAGAAAGAAAACCCAGCATTTTGATAAATGTCATCCAAACCAGACTGGAGAGCCTGTGTTGGATGCCTCCACCAAAGCTGGGTGCCAACCTGTGGGCAGAGTTGGAGATGGAGAG